ATTACGATAGAAGTGAAATTTAACCCCAACTACTATGTGGACGGAAAGTTTACAGACTGGATTGTAGTTGGTGTCTCAGGTAATATTACTTAAATTCTATCTCAATGTTTCTAAAGCTTTCTTTCGCGTAGCTTATCGCTTTGGACTTCTGCTCCATGCTTTTGTCTAATAATGTTTTATATCCAGCGATCATAATAGAATTGTTTCAAGGCCGACCAGAATGCCGTCTCCGGGGAAACGGCGAAACTCAATACGTGATTGAAATCGCTGTATTCAATGATCCATGTCTCACACAAATGGTGTGTTTTCCCATCCCTTAGCTTCCACACAAACTGTTTTTTTATCTAGCGATTCTTACGTTATTTTCGCATTCCAGCCGGCGCCAGGCGTCTTCCAGAATAGAATACGAATAGGACAAAATCCTGCCGTTATTCTTCAAGGTGATCAGACGCTTACCGTTAAATGTGTCTATGGATTGCCTGAGGTGGAGACACTGCCGCTGCCGGTGGTCAGCCCAAATTTCAACATTGAAAGGTACCTATTTGGTAACATTGAACCAAAACAAGTTGTAGTAATGACGAGTTTTGTTTTACAGTGGAGCGACAACGTCTGTTGGTTTGCCGGCAGGTGCTATAATCCCAACATCTCACACACTTACCGGTACTCTGCCACATCCTCAACTTCAACCACATCCATCTGCTGTTACTGGACGAACAGGCTCTGGATCACTGAGTATCCCAAATAGTTTTCAGGCAAGTTTCGAAGCGAGCATTTGATAGTTGTTTGTCGAAAGGAAATTTTCAAGAATCAAATACATATTTATGCAGAATTTTGTCTCAATTTAGGGCACGGAGAAACAGATCGATGTTGATGTTGCCAGCATAGGCACTCAGCTAGAGGAGCTCCTCAGAAGACAAAATCTCAATGCAAATGGGCGCCAGGGAGGTATCTCATAGTTGTTGTATTTGCTGCTCTAGTCTAGTTACTGGGAGCTGCGGGATTATCTTAGGATTTCTTTACAGTGCATATAAATCACTTGACAGATTTATTGGATGGCCGAAATCCAGGCCCGAATTCGATTATCCCTCAGTTGCCGTCACGCATCACAGATCGGACCGGAGA